AAAATAAATGGAAAGGAAATAAGAACCCTTTCCAGCAGTATTTGACTTTCCCAATACATGTGATGGACATAAGCAAACTTCTAGCATTTTGTTAATGACATTTAGCCATGTTCCCCACTGTTTTCAGATCCCTTGAACTTCTCTTCTTTCCCATCCCTCAATGAAGAGATAAGTTATCTTCAAAAGGCTTAGATATTAAGTCCAGTGAAATTACAGAAGAAGAAATATGCACTAATCAGAAAAGCAAACTTACTATCATATCTAAGTTTACATTAATCCTACCAGTATTTTAGCCAACAAACCATTTTATTTCCCTTGTGCTTTTCTGTGTATTTGCCTTCTTATTTTCACTTAGCAGTTAGATTATTAGGAGTTTTGCTTTCTTGCTTCAAGAACTTAGGAAGAAACCATGGCAACATCTTCTAAGCAAAATATTCTCAATTTTTGCTGAGCATTGCAGCAAAGAGCTTTGATTATGTCAGGATACTATAGGCTTGATTCAGCCCCAAGCTCATGGTGAATGGAACAGCAATATCTTTGTCGTCATTTTTCAGACCTAATTTTCTATTGCAGACTAGAGCTTTCCTGTAGGTTTAAATGGAGTTTGTCCCCTCATCAGGTAGTATCATGCCCCTTCAACTTCTGTTCTGTTCCATTCCAGCGAATTTGCAGCTCCGGGCAGATCTAGCATTGGTTCTATCTACATTATATTCAGCAGAGGGCTCTTGCTGATGGCTCTTTATAGCTCTAGCTATTGGCATCCACACAACCCTTAGGTACAGGGGTTGGGTACAAGTCCTCCTCCATGTCTAACCCTCCCTGGAGAGGCAGGAAGGAACCCATATATAGCCAGTGTGGTGATCAAAGTTTGGGCTCCAGGCTAACATATCAATATAGATAAACCCTGGGTTAGAACTGTATCACTGCTAGAACTCTACAGCTGCACTGAATCTCCAGTGAGGGGACAGTGATAAACATTTTAAAATGGCATACAATCCAAAGTCAAATTCACTAGTGCAATTGATAAGGTTAGCAATATTTGATGACTGCAATACCATATAAATTCTAGCTACAGATTACTAGCCAGCTCTTTTCCCAGCAAACTGCAACTGTACATTTGAATTGTCCACTTGAGATTTTTAAGTGCTTTAATTTCCTGGAGCTATTTACAAATCTTAGAGACCACAGAGAGAACTTCCTTAAAAGGGTAAGAAAAACCACTGCTCTTATTGCAGCCAGAAATGTTTTTACAGTCAGATCGTCCTTCTACTGTTAGGTTGATTGAAGAAAGAAGGTGAAAAAATTAAAAATGTTTTGGACTACGTCCTCAAGCACAGAAGTCCCGTGAACAATCATTCCCAGAGGTGAGAACTTTCTGCAAAGACTTTTACTGTCAATTCCAAAAGACAGTCAGTTGTAGATGACATTAAAAGGAATGTCCTGACTTTATTAACATTGCTGATGAGAGGGGATCACACAGGTAAACCAACTCTCAGAACATTCAGGGCTTATGAAATTGTAATTGAATTGCACCAAAAGCTAATTGATAGTGCACATTTAGGTAGAATATGTTGACAACTTCACCCATCTTAAATTTCAGTTCATTTCAAAAGAAGTTTTAATGCTTATATCTGCTTGTAGTGGCTGTCTGGTCTGCATGCAAGAAGGGCAGAGATGTCCATTCTGAGGTCACTTATCAAAGTTCTCATGTTATCACTATGACTATTTTTATTAGACTTCCTAATACTCCAAAGACACACAGACCACAAACAATCATCTTCCCTAAGCCTTTAGAATATAAGTACATTTTCTCCCAGTTCCAAGTTTTACAGGCTGTGTTGGGTAACTGCTCATACTGGTTTAGATCATTGCAGAAACAGCTGTATCAGACAAATTTTGGTCATTTTCTCATTACAACTCTCCTGGATGCACAATCGATTTGGAGAGGGGAAGTCAACAGATTGCAGTCTTGTAGTTAGCTGGCCTGCAAAATGATGATAACCTGAGGTAGACTAGCCTTACCAGGGTGGCCAGTGTCAGCTGGTGTCAGACTTTTATAGTAACACTTCTCCCCAGCACTGAAAAGCATTCAAGACATTTGCCTTTTGTTTATAGATCTTTCCATAAATGATATTAATCTGAAGTAGCTCATGAGGCAAAGAGTACTTCAGTGTAAACCTCCAAAGGGTGATACCAGAAAGAGAGCTGCACACAGGCAGCCTTGTTTGGAATTGTTTCCCTCTTTGCTTTTCAGCTTGAGCCCCTTCCAGACTGTGTTCTTTAAAGAGCACTTGAATACAGAGTCTGCCCAACACAGCAGGCACCAGGCAGAGAGACATTTCTTTAACTCTGCTGTTCTTCCTCACGTTGCAATTGTCACAGTTCAGTACAAGGCTAATTGTACTGAATTTCAATAGCAGATTTGGGCCATGTTCACAGTTATTTTGGAATCAGTTCTATTTGCTGTAAGCTTTCCCAGTTTATATTTCATGCTTGTATATGTCATCCCTTATGCTATACAACACACATTAGTACTTTCCTTACAATTTAGTATATAAATCATGCTATTACAGTTTTACGGCACCTTTGATATGACGAACTAAAAATGTTTCATAAACACTACTATGCCTCATTAAGCCTGTTGGGTTTTTTTAAAACTCATTTGAGAGATGATTAAAGTGGGATTCAGAATACTCATGTCATTTTGCTAAAAATGCTCATAAGTAAGTGAGGATTTGGGAATAGAATCCAAATTCTTGTTCACACTTCTGTCCGGAAGTATAATTGTATAATGCTAATCTGAGGCAATGATCAGCTGGCCTGCAAAATGATGATAACCTGAGGTAGACTAGCCTTACCAGGGTGGCCAGTGTCAGCTGGTGTCAGACTTTTATAGTAACACTTCTCCCCAGCACTGAAAAGCATTCAAGACATTTGCCTTTTGTTTATAGATCTTTCCATAAATGATCAGAGCAATGATCAGAGGTTTACCATGGATCATGTTCAATGCCATTGGTTTTCAACATTTAATCTCTACCATCAAAAGTCAAGCATGAAAAATATAAATTCTTTTTCATGAGAGAACCAGCTATAATGAATTACTTGCTTGTCACTCAATAAAATACATATATATTTAACTCAACAAGAGTATAGTGTTTTCAGAGGAAGTGCTTATATCATCGCCAAATCAAAACAGCTCAGTGGTTTTGACACTATCGCAGCTTCACTTTACTGAACATATCTTGCATGTTCACTTAATAAAATATTATCCCAGTCTTCCCAGTCTTCAAGTCCTATATTTGCACAATTCAATTATACAGCCATTTTGTTGAAAAAAATTAGATGTGTAATGCACATTTTGCATTACTGAAGAGCTAATGTCATTTTAGCACAGACCCACCCTCTATCACTAGGATTTTAGTTTGGAGATGTTCAATGTCCAAATCAATCAAATTGAATTTAATTTAGACATCTAACTCCCTCAGGCCTGGTTGGAAAATGTCAGCCTAAAATAGCATGTGCTTGAGTACAACGAACTAGAAAGGCACTTCTGATGTATCTATTTGTATGTACAAACAAATGTCACAAACAGTATATGGGAATAGCAACAACCCCCTTCTTACGGAGCTGAATTGCCATTCACAGAACTAAGATAATGATAAGGACTTGCAGGAGTAATACTTCCTTCCACTTGCATAGCGCCTGAATAAAGTGAGAGAAAGAGCTTCACCAGGTGGTAACGAGTGATCATAGGAAAGATTAAAATAGCTACCACTGAGGTACTGGTTACAGACTGGCCAAGGGTTTAGAAAGTGAGCTAATGCTCTAAACAAGACTATATATATTGGGTAACTTACGAGTCAAGAACGGAATTTAATGCTACTCAGTAACAGGAATGCAGAAAGCAGTAACAATTCGATGATTTGCTTTTGAACAGGACCAAGTTATAAGTTTCTTAGCTTCATTTTCAGTTAGAAAAACAGGATATCAGATGTACATGCACAAATAATTTAGTTTTGTTTGTAATTCAGCAAATGAAGTGCAGAAGTTACACCTCTTTCAAAGTGTACAAGATCAGTCATTATCTGCTGCCCTAAACCTTCCCTGGAAGAAAGTGAAAAGCTTGTCTAAAGTGTGCTGAAAGGTAAATACAGCATTTAACATACCAGAGAAAACATAACATAGCTACAATTTTGAGGGCACAGGGACGGCACAGCAGAAAGGAAAAATCCCGAAGCATGTTCTTTAACAGGGCAATTGTTGAGCGAAAACCCAAAGAATTTATATGGGAAATTTCTCTGATTCTTTCACTTAGCAGAAAGAAATCAATAACTGTGGTTTTTTCATCCTGAGCTCATTTTAAAGAAGCATGACAAAAACATTCTAGTAGAAATAAAGAATTCTGCATTATCACCTCGAACTAATGAAATCATTCAATATTCAGAAATTCTTAAATAAATAATTCTTAACCTGTTCCTCTTACTGTTTATTTATGGATTTATTATTAAAAGCTAACCTGTGGACTTTTTTTCCATTGAAATAGGTAATTTATACCATTTATACTGAAGAACGCCAAATTGCTTTATTTTTCACTGTTATAAAGAGCTACAATATGTTTCAGTCAGATTCCTAGTAAAGCTGGTTGTAAATAACATTTGAATTAACAACTCAAGTACAAATCTACAATTCTATTAAAATTCAAATAAAATTCAAACAATTAAAAATAAAATTAGAAACTAGATTATTGGAATTGGATTTTTTTTTTTACTACAAGTTTGTTGAAACTTGTATTTGGAAAAAAACTCTTTTAGCATGAAAGATGTATTCTGTGATATCTTAGATAATTACTAATAGATGCATTTTTATAGAATTCAAGAAACTGCATTTAGCTTTTGTTCAGGTGGCTGGAAAATACTTTCAGAATTCTTTCAAGGAAGCTGAAGGTAACATGGAAAACAATGCTTTAAGACTGAGAATTTTTCCTGTCTTGTTTCTTACAGCCTCAAAAGAAAAACTACAAAGATCATTACAACAGCATGCCCATCTTTGCTTGTTAACATAGTTCACCAGTAGCAGTGAGTATCTATATAGTATTTTTTTTGCTGTAGTCTTTCCATAGAATACTATAATTTTCTACTCAGCTTACCATGAATAGCAATAAAGAAAAGACAAAGAAAAAGAGAAGAACATAGGTAATAATTTGGTCTTCTTCCTCCCACTGAATTAGTTAAATTGCACAGCTAGTACTGACATCAGGTTATGATTGTTAAGACTTTTATTTGCGGTGCCTCAATACTAGTTTGCGAACAGCACCAATATACGTATGAGCAACCTCATGTGCTGATGAAAGTAGAAGGCAATGGGTAACTTCAGGCTTCCTGTACTGTTGCCATGATCAAGAGGAGGCTCTTGAATATATAGTGCAGATTTTCCATGTGCTAGGAGAGCACTTCCACAGTGGAAAATTTTCACAACTATACATTTGCTTTGTTAGCCAAAATTTGCTTCTTTTATTGTTACTAGTAGAGACATTAGTTGCATTTTTCCACATTCTGGAATTTGCAAATATTAGCACAGTGAATCAACAGGCTTTACAGACAAAAAAGCTCTGACAAATACATTTGAATTACATTTAAGGATAAGAATTACAGCACCAACTAAAACTCATGGAAGACAACAGCAAGCTCTCCACTCTATTCAGAAGGCTTTGGATGAGGCAGTTTGCAAAAGCAAGTTGGCAGAAACACAGGAAACTATTACCTATCTTAGTTACATCCCAGAAAGTAAACTTTTGGTTGTTAATTTTTTTAATGGCTTCCCTGTGTTAAAATAAAGACATTCAGGTGGCAACACCTGATGTTATCTTGCACATACGGTTGAGGTACTCATGTCCTGTCTTAACTAAGAGCATTTTAAGATTAGGCCACATAAAGGGAAGATTTGGGTTTTGTAATAATTATTTTCATCTTCTTTCATAACAAAAATTTAAGTTAATTAACTCATGTAAGAGTTGATATTTTTTCCTCTCTTCTCTGACCACCAGTTCTTAAATGATTTTGTCACTGTTTCTCTCACAAAAAGCAACTCTGCTGCTGAAAGAAGGGCCAGGAATTAGAATGGCTACGAACAGAGAGCTTAGCCCAGAAGTAACCAAGACAGAGGGGCGCCTAGAAGTGACAGAATGGGTAAAAGGGCATACAAATACAGCACACATGAAACCTAAGCAGGTACAACCATTAGCTTAAGAGTTGGCAATGTTATAAAGATGCTTTTCAGACAGGCAATTTATACCCTGGCAGATGTTACTCTGGCTGACTCTTTGTAATGAACCAAGGTTCTTCATCTCAGTAACAGGAACTTGGCTCATCTAAATCATCCACAGAACTAGGGGAATGCGAAAGCAAGCAGTGAGGATAAATCACATATTTGTAGTTGCTGCTGACTGATTCTGCTGGAGAATTCGATGCTGGCATCTGCACTCCCTAACTCATGGAAGAAGTTACGCTGTTCAGCTCTGCCATCTACTATTAACCTGTTTCTAACTTATTTCTTATTCTGTCAGCACTTCTGAAAACTTTGCTGTGGTAGGAAGCAGGTACTCTTTTCCAAAAGGTACACTGGACTTCATCATGAACTCTGCCTAACTTCCCTACTTTCCCCTGCAGTGAATCATGGCATTGTGGCAACAAGCTGGCATCAGTTAGAACATCAGTGTCCAGGACTAAGAGACACCAGGTTCCTGCCGGAGCAGCATAGAAGGCTCTTCATCTGCTCGGATCCAGAACTCATGGCCAGCTATATGGTTTAAATAGAAATTTAACTGTTACCTATTTCAGTCTAAGCTGACGCTGACACTCATGTCTGTGAACTGTAGAAGCTGAACAAATTGCACGTCCCCTTCTGTTGTCCTTGATACAGTGCTAGCTAATTGTTGGCAGATAACTGGGTGCAATAATCTCCTCAAGTGACACAGCCCATCTGCCAGAGCCCTCCTACACTCTTGGGAATTTGGCTGGTGGTTCACAGGCACTGATAATGGGAGATTCCTCCCCTCTGCTCTTGCCGGCAGGAAGTGTTTTATTTATGCTATCACAAAATATTTGCTCAGCTTCAAGACAAAAGAAGAGGGGTTGTCACCGCTTGCTTTCCAAAAACAATCTTTTCAATCTTACCCTTCTGAAAACAAGTCCTAAAAGGGAGTCGCCAGGTTACATTGCTATGGGTTTGATCATCTCTTGCATGCAGTTAATGTCCCGCTTACTATTTACTTTAATGATGTGGGATCAGGGCCCAACTATCAGCCATTCTTTGCAAATCATACCATATTCAAATAATCGCTAAGAAACATGCCTCTTCTTCTCCCCCCAGCTCTCCCAAGCTGAAAGGTATTTGTGCCAGGATAAGAGAGGGATCAGTAAGCCATCAATATATTGAATGGCCTGCCTGCAACTGGTTTACATGAAACAATTTTACTTTAATTTAGCAACTCAGTGGAGTGATTTTAATAATGAGCATGTCCTTTATAAGTTTCCAGAAAAGGAAAAACTAATACATTTATTACAGAACACTATTTTTTTGTTCTGTCAGGGAATTATATCCACTTAGGAATGCTAGCACAAGTTTTACTTATCTTTTTTGTTTTCCCTAGTGTTAATGTACACTTAAAGTAAATTCCCATGCTTCAGATGAGGTTAATCTATTTTCAGCTACAAGTAAGCAAAACCATATTTGGTGTCACATAGAATAAACAGCAGATCTCCAATTTGGATTTTATAACACCAGTCTAACCTATTGCTATGTTATTTACTCTTAATTGAACCATGGTGCGAAATAAGATGTATAGTTAGTTATTAAAGAAAAATTGGGCTGTGTTACATTTCCCTTTAAGGCATTAATATAATGTTTTATATTTTATTTTCTTTCTTTAAAAGAAAGGAAGAAATTAGCCTGTTAGTCTTCCCCTCTTTGGTAAATTCAGTATTCAAAGTAACAATCACTTGTTACAAATATTTCCTAGAGAAAAAAATGAAAGTAGCTTGTTGGATTTCATGAAAGTGCAGTCTTTTACTTTATTTCAAAAGCATCTATAGCAGTCTAAGAGATACTATGGCTCACTTCATTTTTTAAAAAGAATACAGAACACTATAATTTTTTTTTTCATATTACATTGCTCAGAAGCTGATCTTTTCCTTCTGCAGGAAAATTATACTATTCTACACAGTAATGTGCTGTTACTGTTCTAATTGGAAGAAATTTATTAAACTTGACCAATTTTAGAGAAAGATTTTTCAATGAGAATTGTGCAAACTGTTCCTTTGTAATAACTAATCTGATGCTGAGTAGCAACATCTAAGAAAAAGACAAAACTCGCAAAGCTGAATCCAAGCCACACAAGTTCCCTGATTCAGGATTCAAAAAGCGAGGCCAGTAGTCTCTTAGCATAAGCTGTTTTTGTGGACTATTTTAACTGTCCATTCTGCATTATAACAGCAGCTGCAGGGGTAGTTTCCAGCATAGCTGTTTGGAAACCATTTCAGTAGAAGTTCTTCCAGATGTAGGTTCGAGTGTGCCAAAATGGTCTGGCTCTTCAGTATAAAAAGCAAATTGGAAGTTGAGACTATGGTGCTTTAGCAGTAAGCAGCTTTAATCAACGCTCAAAGAACCTGCCTGCTCTGAAAAATTATAATGGTTCCACAGGGCTTAATTTGGAGGGCGATACAAAAATGTGTCAAAGCCTTCCTCCCCCCTCAAGTTTTTCTTTTTCCCTCCCAGTAATACAAATTGTCTAACAATCAATATAATGTTAGAAGGATTTCTATTGAGGCTTCAGAAAATGGATTTTATACCCATAATACATAAAAAATACCTACTAATGCTCTATGTTACATATAAATTACTCTCTCACACAAGGAAAGGAGAGATTACCAGCTATCCAACCAATCTATTTACCATGCAATGAGATGGGATCTTATGGAATAAATAAATTCTGCAAAGGTACAATTTATCTATCAGAAAAGCATCTTTATAATGTTGCTAGTTCTTAGGTTATAGGAATTCTAAACTTCAACTCCTTCCCCCTTCAAAGAAACACTGACATTTAGCAAAGACCGGTGTCTATGCATTACCTTACAATTATCTGAAGTTTTGTTGAGTACATTGTAGATTATTCTATTCTATTACTGTATGTCAGCTGTGAAGTACCTGGGCTGTGTTTAGTGTACCACATCCTACTGCTGAATTAGAGGAGTAGCTTAAAATACCGAATTGAAAAAGTTACAGCTTTTCAATTGGCTCACCTAATTTGGGGTTCAGACTATTTTATAAGAGGATTCACAGGGAGGGGGATATGCGTATTCTCTGGTGTTCTGTAGCATATATTTACAGTACCAATTTCCAGACCGTCCTTTTCCTCTTTCTACTTCCTCTCTCTCCCTCTCCAAACTACTGCAGGATCCTTAGATATACATTATACCATGAACAGTCAGATGATGAAAAAACATCTGATTTTTCAGATGTAGTGCCAGTTATCACATATTAATGTCCATCTCTCAGTTACCGCCACTCAAAGTTTGTGGAGGTGCTTACAAATAATTTATTTTAAATATACTGAGTGTTGAAATTAAATCTTGACATTTAGAGCTAGTGGGCTGAAAACATTCAGATTTCCTCCCACTACAGGAACAAGATCTACCTTTCTATGAAGTATCACTGGCATTTGAAAGATGGATCTCTTAAAACTCGTAAGTTTGTATCTAACTGATAACAGCAAAATTAAAGGTTAATACTTTATAGTATTGCATTTAAAACCAACCATAAAACTAGTTATTAAAAATCAATTTCTTGTACTATTTGCTTAAAATGTGGATGAAGCAGGCTCAATGTCCAGACGGAGACTGGTGATGAGGGGTCCGTATTGGGACCAGTACTGTTTAGTATCTTCATCAATGACACAGACAGTGGGATCAAGTGCACCCTCAGCAGGTTTGCAGATGACACCAAGCTGAGTGGTGCGGTCAACATGCCAGAGGGACGGGATGCCATCCAGAGGGACCTGGACAAGCTCGAGGAATGGGCCTGTGTGAACCTCATGAGGTTTCACAAGGCCAAGTGCAAGGTCCTGCACCTGGGTCGGGGCAACCCCCAGTATCGATACAGGCTGGGGGATGAAGGGATTGAGAGCAGCCCTGCCGAGAAGGACTTGGGGGTGCTGGTGGATGAAAAGCTGGACATGAGCCAGCAACGTGCGCTCGCAGCCCAGGCGGCCAATCGTATCCTGGGCTGCATCAAAAGCAG